GAGTAACAATTTGGAGACTCTGTATTTTCCCTTAGCAACGGCTTGTATCAGTAGCACAATGGTCCTGTCAGAGCGACCAGGACCTTGAGAGAGAACTGTCTCTGGACTTCTAGTGCATCAACTGGTTTCTCTTCAGTAAAGTACCTGAGAATAGGGTGAGGGATCTCTTACAGGGTTCCAGACAGTAGCTCTCACCAGCTCCTCTGCGACTCTCCTCGATAAGCAGATTCCACCTCCAGCTCAGCTTCCATCAGGTTCCTTTCAGCAGCACCTGAAATCTCTGGGCCCCCAGCATCTACCACATGCTGAGGTGCATACCAGGTATCCAGTAGTATCTTCGGCCTCTAGGCCCCCAGCATCTGCCACATGCTGAGGCCCAAGCCAGGCATCTGCAGTATCTTAGGCCTCTGGGCCCCCCAGCACCTGCCACGTGTGAGGCCCAGGCCAGGCATCTATATCACACAGACCTCCTCCCATGGAGGGCACCGGGGGGAGGGGAGTTCTGGAAAGTGTCCCCAAGCCTTTTAGCCTTTTATCACCTGCCTTCAGCCACACCTCTGAGTCACCCTGCTCAGGGATTGGTCAGAGTCAGGTGCACAGTCACAGTCTGAGGATGGATCCTCCCTCACTGTATGCTGAGTACCCAACCCAGCAACAGGGGGAAGCAATCAATCCTGCAAACTCAGGGAAACCTGTAGAATGCAGAACTCAGAACAAAACAGCATCTAAACTGATTACAGTCCAGATATACACTAAATTCATTAGCGACATATCAGAGGGCGCTACATAAACAATATACATTTTAAGAGTTCATCCTAATAAACACCTATGAAAGAATCCAAAGCTTAATCTTTTGGAAGGAGATTGTAAATAAGAAATATTCACATGTCATATTTGGCAGAAGAAAAATTTAAAATATTTTTTAAGCTTAAAACATTTTGTTTAAAGGAGAATCATGGGGTGAGGGAATTACACTCATCCCCATAATTAGAGCCAACATGTAACACTGAAGCTCTCATACGTCAGTTCTTTTGATAGGGAACTTAGCGATAACATCCTGCCAATCACTCAGTTCCCATTCATTTCCTTTCAGTCACCGCTCCCTACAGGGATTCCCCTCTTTGTCCCTTCAGCACTGACTGGAGGAATTGATGGTGGAGGGGGCAGGCACAACTGGCTCTGCCTCTATGGAGGCAGAGCCAGCTGTCAAATAGGCAGTGGGATGGATTCCAACAATATTGTCGAGATCCATCCCGGCTGCAGCACGGCTCTGTGCAGTCAGTATATAGTGGGCAATAGCCCACTATATGCTGAGTTTTGGGTTACAAGAGGCGATTCGTATATCTCCTCCTGTGACCCTAAAGAGTACTATGGCAAAAAAAACGTTGGGCTAGAGTTCTCTTTTCTTCAAAATATTTATTTATTGAATTTTCAAATTTCACATATCATACAAATACAAATAACGAACATAATTAATTCCCTCACACTTGACATAACACATATCTTAAGAAGCATCTCAATTGTTTTGTGTAGTTCCCTCTACATTCCTGCTTCCATAAAGCTAATAAGTAACATATAACACTAAGACCCTAACACCTTTCTTCCTCCTCCCCCCCCCAAAAAAAACAGACATTCCCACACATTCAAAGGGGTATTGTAAGTATAGTTAATCGTTTGGTAAAAAGAAACGAAGAACAAAGAGGACACTAGGAAGAGAAGAAATATCACGTCAGAAAAAAAAAAGTATCAAATCAGAATAAAATAATCCAACGTTAGACTTATTCGGGATTTACCCCTATAAATATCTGAGAATCTCTTGTAAAAAAAATTACCAGAGATCTAGTCCAACTTTTGTCTAGTTTAGTTGGGGGTATCCACGGAACAAACGTCAGGGGTATATCCACCTCTGCCTGCTCCACCGACACCCACAATTTCTGGTTTCCCTCAGTAAACCAATCCAGCAATCTACTTAGGCCCACCGCTTGGTAATATATTTCCATATGAGGCAATCCTCCCCAACCATCCAATTTTCTTTTAGTCAATATATCATATCTTAATCGGGCTCCTTTTTTAATACTTTTGTTCCTCTCTCCCCTCTTTTCTTGTTGTATTTTCCTTAAGATTATATAGATTATTATAATAGTTATGGAATGCTTCAGCGATCTGCTCTGAAGAATTAACTATACCCTTATGTTTACAGTTAATTTTTGGGATATATGTTCGGGCCTGTTTCTCTTTTATCGAGCGTGCCAGATGCCCACTACTTTTATTTCCAAATTCGTAGGTAGTTCGCTTCACTATACCCTTGTATCTTTGGTACCCCAGATCTATTATTTGATGTAATTCACTTCTCTTTTGCTGAAGACTATTATAAACATTTGTAAAGCAAATATGTTGCGCTCGGTCTATGTGAACCAACTACACACTAAAGTGTTAAAAAACAAATCTGTGTAAAATTACAACAATCTGTGTGAAAAAATTGTGTAGTTGGTTCACATAGACCGAGCGCAACATATTTGTTCACCTATACACATTGTTGCGGCTGGTCCAATCAGGTAGTTAGGCACGCATTCCCAGCGCAGTGATTTCTGTGATATATTATAAACATTTATATCTACATTCTTTTTGTGTTGGCTCTCCAGTTGCTGTATATCTTCCAGAAGGGATTTGATTTCAAGTTTTCTCTTTTTTAAGCGTGTTCCGTGGGATATAAGTATTCCTCGTATTACCCCTTTCAGGGTTTCCCATTTTATTGCTTGTGCCGTGGTGTCATTTTTATGGTCTGTTAAAATTTTTTACAATGCCTTGTCTGATAGCTTCTTTTATAGAGTCCTCTTGTATTAAATTTTCTTTCAATCTCCATGTCGCACTGAGCTTCATGGTATTCGGCGGTGTAATCGTAAAGAATATGGGTGCATGGTCTGACCATATTTGGACTCCTATGTCTGCTTTTATCTGCCAACTAATTAAACAATGAGACCCAAAAAAGTAGTCTACACGACTATATGACAGGTGTGATGGCGAATAACATGTATAATTTCTAACTCTAGGATGTAATATACGCCAAATATCCACCAGCTGTAGATTCTGTAGGCGTTGTTTTAATTTATTGAGCTGGGTATATGGTATGTGGACTGTACCTTTAGACGTATCTACTTTAGGGTCCATTGTCAGTTTAAGGTCCCCCCCCTACAACCAGGATTCCTTCCATAAAGTTCCTCAAAAAGTTGAGTATCTTTACTAGTACCCTCATCTGACCTTTGTTTGGTAGATAAATGTTAACGAGTGTGTACTGTTTATGAAATATTTTACATTTAACGAAAAGGAAACGCCCTTCATTGCCCCCCTGTTCCTGAACATCTACTACTGGTAATGAGGCATGGAAACCTATAGCCACACCTCGCGATTTAGTCTGAGTGTAGTTGCTCATGTGCCATTTAGGATAATATCCAGTAGAGATCTTCGGAATTGAGGAACTTTTGAAGTGCGTTTCTTGAAAAAAGAGAACTCCTACTCGTTGAGTATGCATGTCATATAATATCTGGGCACGTTTTTGTGGGATATTAAGTCCCCTAACATACCTGAAAGAGCAAGGTAAATGGATATTTATACTGTTGTACTCTGGATGAGTCAAAGCAATAACTTAATCCTTTACATGTAAGGGGTAGAATGAAAGTGTCATACCAAGAGAAGTCTTTTAATCACTCAACTGATGACAGTGAAAACAACAGTAGACATCCAATGTGTTTTTGGGGCTACAATTTCCCCCTTCATAATGGCTGAATGGAAATAATAACGTTTTGGATGGACTCGAAAGATGGCTTCTGAGCTGACTGCATTCAGAGGTAAAAGGATCAATTGTTGGTAGTAATGCCAGCAAGAACAGCCAAAATACATAAAACATACAATTCAATGAGAATGCAACTTGAATGCAGGTCAGAAAGAGGTCACCTGCGGTTCAAATGCACCTGTCAGTGAACTCTGAATCATCTCAGAAGTGTCTCAAACTGATCTCAAATGCAAATGGATCTTTCATTCTTCCTCCCTCTTTTCCTGGGTTCTTCCTTTAGTACTCCTCTGTTCGTGACTAACAGCCTACTATTCTCACACATTTACACAATGTACTATATCTGAAGGTTTAATATTGTTTTGACAGACATGTGATGTCTTGAGGAGGAACAAAGTGTCTTGAGGAGGATCATGTGAACAAACTTTAAAAATACCACACAAGGCATACACCCTTGCCACAAACTCAGATGTTGCACCACCTAAAACACGTTGAAAAATGAATAACACATATTTTAAATGTTGAGTTTAATTTACATTTTAAATATTTGATGTTTATGGGGACTTTTATTTGCAAATCCTTGTACACTACCATTGCTCCATAATACATCTTATTTCAAAAAAGTGTCCACTCTTCTGTAAAGGTGTGTGTACTGATTTTTGTATGCTTTATGCTATCTATCTCCACAACACTGTTGATTCAACTGTATACTCTATGTTGTTTTTTTGAAAAAACCTGAACATAAAGTTATGTTAACAAAAATTCTGGCATTTTTCCTGGCTCTGGGCACCACCTTTGGCATAAAGGAGCCAGCTCAAGTAGAATGACCTTGAAAGCATTTTTGGTCCGAATACTGTTTAAATTGACCTAGTGGCCCTTTAAAACAAAATGATTATGTCTGACATGTAGAACGCCTGACATAAGTTAAAATCAGGAGAGCTCTGGCTGTAGAAATGTAAGTCAATATTCACAAACTGAACAGAGATGAAAAAAGATCATCATGAACACATCTTGCTGCCTATGGTTAAGTTTTGAAATCTATTTCATTATTCAACATGACAGGTTGACTTTATAGTCTTACATATGTGAATATGCAATATATAGTTATATTGTAAGATGCATTCTCGGGATAGGGGGCAGCTGTAATACATTGGTAGAATATTCTTATATACATATATTATTGTTGTTAAATAACCTGTTTTCCGTTCTACAGACGAAGAGTTTTGGCCATTTCAGACGGGATTGAGCATATTGGGGAGCTTCGATGGGAATTAGCACTTTGTCTTCTTGCTGCTTGGACCGTTTGTTATTTCTGCATATGGAAAGGGACAAAATCTACCGGAAAGGTTAGAACTAATTTCCTTTATTTACTACAGGCAGTAAGAATGATAGAAGTTTCTTGTTTGAAGTACAACTGCAAAAAGATTACAAAGTGTGAAGACTGCATGGCATTACAAATAAAGGGATATTGCAGGTTTAGCACCCATAGCATATATAGCAAATAAGGATGACCATGCTGAATGGGAGGAATGGGATGTGGTTTAATAAAGGTTCAGGATTGGCAGCTCTTTATAATCTGTGTATAACATGTTTAAATAATACCCCCAACCACTCTCTACCTGTTGAACACTTGAATAATGATGTTGATGAATTTAACAGTCTCAAGCAATGGATGTACTAAAGGAGCTACCTGTCTAAAGAGTATGGCAGAAAAGGCTTCTAGCAGGAAGGATTGAAGTCAACACTTTTTGGGCAACATTTCTCTTTCTTACTACATGGAAGAAACTCCAAAAGTTTAAATTTAAATAACATACAAGCTGGCAGGAACCATAGTTTGCAGCAGGGGCGCAGGTATTCGACACAACAGGAAGTGGTCAGAGAGCAGTAATGCACCAGGGTTTTAAAACATGGGCCAACAGAAAGGAAAATGTATGGATACATTTACCTTCACTGCTGGTAGGAGCTTGCACATTATGAATTGAAGCTTCTGAATTGCCATTCAGTGTAGCAGAAGGTTTTGTTGTGGAGAGGCAAATCTACATTTCCCCTGACCATGTTGACTGGCTAACTTCTATTAAAATCTATCAGTCTTGTATTGCCAATTAGTACTAAACCCCTGCTGTTGTTGATGCTACAAACTGAAGTGTCATCCAGCACCCCCTCAAAAAAAATGATCGCTGCCCCCATTACCAGCTCCTGCCACCTCTAATGCCACACATTGTTTCCACAGCTGGACCTCAGCTGCCAAATTTCTAATGTTTACATGCACGGAAAATCATGTGTTGCATTTCAAAGCTTGCACCCTATTCCAGTGTTCCAGCACTCAAAAATATTTGTGGCTATTGCCTATCACATAACACACTCTACTGTAAATTTCAAGATAAAATCTGCCTTGTCTCTCCCTCTAATATTGTGACTTAACCAAGTTGCTTACATATTGCCGAGCCACTACACAATATTTGTGGCTATAGTCTCTCAAATATCTTTATTTCAAGATAAAACCCATCTTATTTTCCTACATACATTGCATCCTTACAGTCCACCCACTGTACAATATTTGTGGCACTTTTCTTTCCAGTAATAAACTATCATTTATTTTTCAAGATAAAACCTGCCATGCTCTCCTTCTTATACTGTGGCCTAAACTCGCTGCTTACCTCCTGTCCAGACACTGTAAAATATTTGTGCATACTGTCTTTGAAATAATACACTGTAATGTGTATTTCAAGATATAACCTGTCTTGCCCCTCCCTCTTATAGTGTGGCCTTACAAGGCTGCTTACATATTGCCCAGCCACTGTACAATATTTGTGGCTATTGTTCCTCAGCTTAGACATTTAAATGTATACTGCAAGACAAAAACCTGCCTTGTCTAGCTCTCCATTTGCTGCTTATTCAAGTGCTCAAGTATAGACCTGACGCCAGCCAATTTCTACCAAATGCATACCTGAACCTACATTTTGAATTTTTTGGAAATAGTTGAGGAGGAGGGAGGAGGTTCAGGGAATTTGGGGATGTGGTTTTGAAATGTTTTTGTGCACTCTATCTTGACATTTTATTAAACTTTTAAGACAATGCAGAGAAATATTATGAAAAAAGATTATAAGCTATACTATTAAAGAATACACCTGCTCAGTAGATCCCCAGGTGGGAAATGGAGGTAGACAAGTCTAAGGAGAGTACAGCTCCTTAAACTTGTCTACCTCCATTTCCCACCTGGGGATCAACTGAGCAGGTGTGGCCAGGAGAAAGAGGACTAATGGCATAGGATGTCAACAATCAGAGGGGGCTATGGGCATCGGATCTTGTCAAATATGCATCTGTGGAGGGGGAGGGTGGGATCTTTAAGGCAAGGGGAGGGGAGCAAAAAAGTGCACTTTTTCTAAAGTGTCTAAAAGTTCATAATATTGAAAAAATAGAGATATCTAAAAAGGTAAGAAATATTTTAAAAGAAATTATTGTTAGATATGCTGTGTGAATAGGAACACATAACAAATATATAGTGGGGGTTTGATCAATTGTCTTTGCAAAAGTGAAAATACTTTTTAAAGTAACATTAAACCCTCAGATTTTTTAACATAAAACAATACTGTAATGTGTGCCTTACTGTAATCCATGGTTGTTTCCCTTCTCTTTGCTGCTCTTCCTTTTAAATCCTTCTCTCTTCTCATGCTGGGCAGAACTTCTGTTTCTCTGTCTCTGAAATGGATACATGGTGTCTGTGTGAAGGTTCACAACCTGAGCCAGCACTACAGGAAGAGGCACTCAGCTGCAAAGGGAAGTTCTCCCCAAGCATGAGAAGAGATACAGATTTAAAAGGAAGAGCAGCAAAGAGAAGGGAAACTACCATGGATTACAGTAAGGCACACATTACATTATTGGTTTATGTTAAAAAATCTGAGGGTTTAATGTCACTTTAAGCATAAGATACCTTTGAGTCTCTCTGTGCTTTTCTTATTTTAGGACTGGACATAGATATCTCTAGATTTGATAATATACATTCTGGCATGCAGTATTAGTACACAAATGTACTTTCATAAATCACACTAGAAAAATAAGGTCTAAGGAGAACATACATGTAAGGGGGTTATTAAGGAGTTAAGAAGAGCTTCCTATGTGTAAGAGCTTCATATGTATCCATTGGGCAGAACTTAAAGGAGAACTATGAGGTGAGTGCTTTTCACTCACCTCATAGTTCTAGCCGACCTGTGACAATGAGACTGTCACAGGTCGACTTAGTAGATCGGGCGTTCGCTCACCTCTCGATCCTGTCATGGCTCTCTGCCGTGACAGGGGAGGGGCTGGATTCCCCCCTCCCCGCTCCGATCCGCCAGCGCTGAATGGCGGAACGGACGGGGGAGGGGGCGGGTACAGCTGGCTCTGCCTCTAGATAGGCATAGCCAGCTGTCAGTCACGCAGCTGGACTCGCGGTATACTGAGCCTAGGGTGACGGGAGGACGCTAGTTTGTGTCCTCCTGTTACCCCAAGGAGAACTATGCGGAAAAGCCTTAACCCCATAGTTCTCCTAGGCTTGCCTGAAATGGTGATGTCCAGGAGAGAGAACATGTGCTGTGTGAGTGCCACAAAGAGCAGAACATTAAGTACTGGTAGAATTGTGGTGTTCCTTTTGGGGGGCTGGAACATACTCTTTAATATGGACTGAATTTGTAATTTTAGGTTATAAAGTTGCAGCGTTTCCATGGCATTCAAGTGTATTTCCACTTTCACAGCAAAATTAGGATAACACCTATTTTATATTTTTTACATGTTCCATTCACATAGCATAAGCTAAAAAACAATATTTAAAAAAGCTTCTTGCAGTTGAAATAGCTTTTACTTGGGTTAGGGTGTCTTAGCTTCTTAAGAGATACCATTTCGATTTGGTTCTCCTTTATTGTAATGTTGGGATGTGCTGTGAGGGGTGAGGGATTAAAGGATTACAACTCTGGCTTCTCCATTGTATGTTAGTGAACTTAATGAGAGAAACACAATACTAAAAATTCAGTCTTAAATCTGTCTATAAGAACAGATCACTGTGAAGGTACTCAGAAAAAAACTGGATTCAGCCATGTTACCTGCTGCAATAAAACATCTAAAAAGTAATACATATTGTACAAAAATGTATATATATATATATATATATATATTATACACATAAAAAAAAAAATAAAAAAAATAAAAACAACAATGGAATGGCCAAGACCAAAAGCAATAAATGTACACTTTAGAGTCCTACTAAGTTCAGTTTCATTTGTTGGAAAATCATGCTCCACATACTGAATTTAGGACTGTCATTATGATACTGAGCATTGAAGCAATCTTTATCTGTCATGTTGTAACAAACTTGCGTTGTATGAAACCATATATGTATGATTCACTTGTGCAATACTTACGGGTCTATTCATGAAGCTGCCGAGGGATCTGGCCGTAGCTTCGGCCGATCCTTCGGCTAGCTTCGGCCCCAGGACCCCTTCGGTTCAGGAGAACCGAGGGGGTGCTGTACGGGCTATTCACAATAGCCCGTACAGCTCCCGATCATGGCCGAGCGGCTCAGTCGAGCCGATCGCATATGCATCGGCTCGGCTGAGCCGTGCAGAAAGCCGAAGCTGGCC